ACCCTCCACCAGAAAAGTTGCGCAACGTAGTTTAAAGGCCCATATTAAGCGATTTTCTGATCTATGTTAAAATGTTGTTTCCTCATCACAAACGGACCTGGAGTTGTGTTTTGTTACATTCACACATGTTTAACACACAAACCCTGCGTATTTAGGCTGAGTTCTCCTTCTCTCAGACAGAAAACACTCATGCGATGTGGTAATACAAGTGCTCTACTGTGTTTTTAAACTACATACACTTTCACTGGAATCATTTGCATGATTTCAGCTCTGGAATTGCCAACTTCTGCTGAACAAAAGGTAAAAAGTTGCTGTTAACTTGACAACTACATGACATCACGAGGTGGAACAGAGCATTTTGAGCTTTGGGGATGTAGACAGACTAATAATGCAGTGAATAAAACACAACAGAACTCCAGGTATGTTTTTAGCTATTGAAATTCTACAGTGTTGTTTTCTAGTCTCGGTTTAGTCATTTTGGTATAGTGTCCTGGTTCAGTTCTGCTCTTTATTTCTAGTTTCGATGTGCTTTGACCCAGTCTGTGTCTCTTTCCCAAATGGAGCCCAGTGCAGAGAGAAAGAGATGGAGGAGAGAGAGTAAGAGAAAGAGAGAGAAAGAGAGTGAGAGGGTCATGGAACTGTGTGCGCATGAATGCCTCCTGATAGAGCTGAGAGAGACACTTTTATTATGTGAGGAGAAAGAGAGGGGGAGAAAGAGGGAGGGAAGAGGAGAGAGAAAGAGAGAGAGAGAAGGGGGAGAGAGGTAGAGAGAGAGAAAAAATGGGTAGAGAGGAGGAGAAAGAGGGGAAAGGGGTAGCACAAGGGGGTATACAGATGAAGGCAGCGAAATGAATATTGTTTAAATGCAGATTTTTGTTGGAATACAGTGAGAAATGATCAGGTTCAACATTTGTGAATTTACCTTTTAGATATTTCATGGTAAACTACAATGTCCATTTCTAATCAGTAACTATCTCCTGTTCCATTTGAATTTTTCTTTTCTTGTAGGATCCAGTCTTCATTAGTTTAGAGATACAACTACAGAATAAAACAAACAATTATAACATAGTAGCTAAAGTTACTAGAATCTTAAGTAACATGAAGTCAACTGTGAATTTCGTAAAGAACACATACAGTGCTTGTGTTTGTTGTATGGTTATAATCTGTAATCCGTGGATCATTATGTTAGAATTTGGATATTTTAAATTGCAATATTCATCTAAAATGATTCAATAAAATAAACAAATCCGCTTTCTTCTGGGTTAGAAACTGTGGTCTCATTTCCTAGTGAGCCAGAGTGTTGGAGACGTGTGGAGACACTTTTTTAAAATATTCCATCCAGTCCTTGTATTTGCAGAGGTCGCTGGTGCTAGGCTAGTGCATGTCTATGGCCATAGTTAGCCTGCCACTAAAAACAGTCTTACCCACTCCACAAAACACCTGAAGCAAATCTATAATTACACCAGACTGTCGATGTGAATGTCTGTGTTGATTAATTTTAGAAGTGAAACCAACCTTGCATTTGAAGGATTTATGTCTGAGCAGCAGCGAGTTGTACTTCCTGTTAGAAAGCTTGGCAGGGGTGAACTGATATATGAGAAAATAGTCCCTCAACATGTGATGATTCATGTGAAGCAAGGTTAGTTTTATTTCTAAAATGATTCTATCAACACAGACATTCACATCGACAGACTGGCATAATAATAGATTCGCTTCGGGTGTTTTGTGGAGTGGGTAAGACTGTTTTTAGTGGCAGGCTAACTATGGCCATTGACATGCACTAGCCTAGCACCAGTGACCTCTGCAAATACAAGGACTGGATGGATTATTTTAAAAAGTGTCTCTCTCACACTCTGGCTCACTAGGAAATGAGGTTCTATGTCCAAAATTCTGAACTGCCCCTTTAAGAAAATAAAATTGGAGGACAAAATAAGTATAGAGCAATGGGTAGTTGAAAACAGGGCATGTTGGAAAAAACAGAGCAAAAAAGGACCTATACTTCGCTGTTTTCTGATCGATGTTGTAATGCTGTCTGCTCATCACAAACATAACTGGAGCTGTCAGATGAAGAGAAGAGGCAGAGCGTTTCACTGGCTCATAAAAAAGTTTAAAAGTAGCAGTGCAGGTGCTTCACGAAGGCCATCCTGCTGGTCTAAACACTTTGGCCTCCCTCCATGTAATAAAGAACTTTTAATATATTTAGTCACTGTGCCTCAGGTTTGTACCTTACCCACTTTACTTCTACATTTTCTTCATTTAGGGCTGCATTTTGTTAACATTCTTGGAGTTGTGTTTGGTTTCATTCACATGTTTAACACACATCCTGCATATTCTGGAGATGTAGACAAATAATAAAAAATGAAGAACCATACAAAAATCACTCCAAATACAACTTCAGATGAGTAAATAGTGGAAACTGCGGTTAGACGCTCAGAAAACGTTCTCTGTAAAATGCCAACTCATTTGTCGACTTTTAAATGGCAGCAGATTGTCCCATGCAGATGCAGGTCCTACTGGGCGTTCTGTCTGAGCAGCTGGAGCTCAAACATCCCATTGTGCGAGTGTCCTTGAACGCACCAGTGGCTCTGTAGCTGTACAGTATAACCTCAGCTCAGGTTCGTCGCAGCTCGTTTAAATGCCTCATTAACACTCCGTTATAATGAGAGGCTGCGTGTCCTTGTGGAAGACGCACAGAGCACTTTGATTAGGCCCGTCGTGAAAACAAAATTTGAAGTACGATAAATTATAGCATTGAAAGTACTTTATGCCACTGACGCAATAACAATAATGCAAGATAATCACAGTAAACCATTTTTATATAGACAGTGTCATTAAAAGGCCTAAGCTGCAACTAATAAATCATAAAATGTACCGATACATTTAAAGGTCCTATATGCAAAACTGACTTGCAAACTTTAAGCCATACTCGGAGTTGTGTTTTGTTTCATTCACACATGTTTGAGTAATACTTTATTATTATATTAGTCTGTCAACATCCCTAAAGCTCAAAATATGCCACAAAATGTTCCACCTTGTAATGTCATGCAGTGGTAGTTTTCAAGTTAACAGCTATTTGTTATTTTTAATTTTTTTCAGTAGAGATTGGGAATTCCAAGGCTGAAATTATCCAGATGATTCTAGTGAAGGTGTATGGAGTTTAAAAACCCAGTGGAGCACATTAGAACAGATAAAAAAATAGCGGTGTTGTAGTATCGAGACTGGACTCAATCTTGTCTTGGTCCTGAAGACGCTTGGACTCGGTCTTGTCTCAGTCTTGAAAGTGTTTGGACTCGGTCTTGTCTCGGTCTTGAAAATGTGTGGACTCAGTCTTGTCTCGGTCTTGAAGGCGCTTGGACTCGGTTTTGTCTCGATCTTGAAAACGTTTGGACTTTTTCTTGTCTCGGTCTTGAAAACATTTGGACTTTGTCTTATCTTGGTCTTGAAAATGTTTGGACTCGGTCTTGTCTCGGTCTTGAAGGCGTTTGGACTCGGTCTTGTCTCGGTCTTGAAGGCGTTTGGACTCGGTCTTGTCTCGGTCTTGAAGGCGTTTGGACTCGGTCTTGTCTCGGTCTTGAAGGCGTTTGGACTCGGTCTTGTCTCGGTCTTGAAGGCGTTTGGACTCGGTCTTGTCTCGGTCTTGAAGGCGTTTGGACTCGGTCTTGTCTCGGTCTTGAAGGCGTTTGGACTCGGTCTTGTCTCGGTCTTGAAGGCGTTTGGACTCGGTCTTGTCTCGGTCTTGAAAGCGTTTGGACTCGGTCTTGTCTCGGTTTTGAAGTCACTTGGACTCGGTCTTTAAGGCACTTGGACTCGGTCTTGTCTCAGTCTTAAAAACGTCAGTTTTGTCTCAGTCTCGAGGCCTGACACTTGACTAGGGATAAAATGGAGATAGATTTATAAAAGCATTCATATATATGTGCCAAAATAACTATAAAATACAAATAAATGTTGAAATTTACAAAGATGGTCTCGATTATGGTCTTGATGGGCCGTGGTCTCGGTCTTGTCTTGGTCTCGGCTTTTAAAATTCTTGGTCTTGTCTCGATCTCAACCCTCAGAGGTCTTGGTCTTGTCCTGGTCTCGGACTGGTCTTGGTCTCGATCAGTGCGGTCTTGACTACAACACTAGAAAATCGAGTAATATGGGCCCTTTAACTGAAGTCCACACTGACCAAGAATAACTGTCCTATATACAGATGGTCCAAATTATGTTAAGCTCTGTCAGACTAGTTCTTCTTTAAAGCAGTGGACCAGATTTTCAAACTATGAAAGAAAGAAATCGATTTAAAGCAGACATATTGTGTATTTGTTTCCTCTTCAGTTATAATCTAGGACACTGTGGATTATGATGTTATAATTTGGACATTTAAAATCACAATATTGATCTAAAATGACTTGATAAATGAAAACTGACAAGTCAGTTTTGCACAATGTTTCTTTTAAAACTTGATCCTGTCTCTCATAAACGCTTTGTACATCTCCAGTATTCCCATGTGTGCATGTGTATTATTTTTCCTTCTTCCATGTTTTAACGCTGTTCCCTCATCAAAAACATGCCAGAGGAGATTTTAGATGTCATCCATGCATGTATGAGTATTTTAGCGATCTCTCCTGGGCCTTATTCAAACACTCCTTGTTAGCTGTAAGATTCTGTACAAGACTCCGCCCACAACCCTACATCACCCATGCTCCCACACGACAATTCTCCAGAAATATACAAAAACATGCTACAAAAAAGTGGAATGCACACTGATTGTGTTGTGATAGCGCTCTGAAGGGGGAGTGACTTAACAAAGGGAGAGGAGAATCAGAGAATCAAAAACAAACAACTTACAAAACCTGTTAATCCGTTGTTTTAGTCGAATATAGCATTTTCAGAACAATAAAAGGTAACATGGTGATCTAAATATGTTAAGTGTTAGGAGTTCATACCCCACAGAAGTAAAATAGCCGCTCTTTAATCAAAACTTTTCCTCGTTGTTGTTGTTGCAGGAGTGAGACAAGATGCCGCTGGTGAAGAGGAGCATCGAGCCTCGGCACCTGTGTCGTGGAGCTCTGCCCGATGGCGTGACCAGTGAGCTGGAGTGTGTGACCAACTCCACTCTGGCCGCTATCATCAAACAGCTGGGCAGCCTCAGTGAGTACACACAATATCACCGTCAAATCACACTTTTACGGGCCTGTAATGTGTTCTTGTCAAGATGAATGCCCTTTACATCGTGTGTGGTAAAAACAATCATGTAAATATATTCATTTTACATAGCATTTTCACAGGTAATGACCATAGACTGTGTATATACATGGACACGTCAAATAGGAAGTGTTCATTGAGGCGTTTCTGGCTCCCATTGACTTACACTGGAACATTGTCGACCGTCTCTGTAGCTGCATCAGTGAGCCTCGTCATTTTGGTCTTCAGTGTTCGTATTAACGCATTCTACATGATTCTGGTGTTATTTTACTATTTTATCTGTAAATACATTTCTATTTCTAATATTGAGCTTGGTTCCATATTCGCCCCTGTAATTGCTAGCATCGTGAGCTTCATTTGACTGGAGCCGAACATTATGGAAGATGTTAGACTTTTTTTTTTCAAATACTGTATTTTTTGGACTATAAGACACACTTAAAATCCTTAAATTTTCTTAAAAATCGACAGTGCTCCTTATCATCTGGTGCTCCTTATGTATTAATTGTAGTTGTGCTTACTGACCTTGAACCGATTTTATGTGGTACATGGCGCTCAAAAATCTGTCAAAATGTTTTAGTACAACTTTGGCAAACTACAAAGCCACACACGTTGATGGATTGTCGGAGCATTACAGCTACCGTAGTCAGGAGGCTCACGGAGTAATACACTTTGACCAAGGCAGGGAGGCAACGTCGGTCAAGTTATGCCACGATCTGCCAGTGGATCATGGATGTCTGGGCTGAATTATTCTGAATGCGTTGAATAAAGTTTGAATTATCTGACTGTTTTGTTTTGCTTAATGCATCTTATAATCCGGTGCACCTTATGCATGAAAATATTCAAGAGAATTCAACATTATTCATATTGCACTTTCTAATCCGGTGCGCCTCATAGTCCGAAAAATACAGTATGCAGTGTAATATACAATGAGATAAACAATAACATTGCTAGAGGGTTAAGAATTTATATTCTCCAGGCTCAACATGTACAATATCTGCATTATACATTATAGAAATGTAGAAAAATAATGAATATATTCACATTTTATATTTCAAATTCCATACAAAGGGAGAATTTATATAAGCGAACAAGAGGGACTGAAATACAGCAAATTTGGGTTTCAGATTTACAACAATGGATATGAAATTTTGATTAGGATTAAGTTCAACACATATATATTTTTGCAGGAATATGTTTCTCAAAAATACCAAAAAGTACATATTTTACATTAAATTGTAGGTTTGTATCAAGTTTTCTATTCACAAACAAAAAATATGTCTATAATTAATGCTAAATTGACTGATTGGGAACCCACGGGAACCCAACTGCCTGACACTATCCCAGACACTTCATTCTCTGTCAAGGTGCATTTTCAAAAGAGACAGAAAACACAACCAGCAGCAGAGATTGAGAACTTTAAGGAAACAACATTTGTCATGTGTTTGTGTGGTAGGTCGTCACGCCGAGGACATATTTGGGGAGCTGTTTAATGAAGCCAACAGTTTCTACCTGAGGATGAGCAGCCTCCAGGAGAGAGTGGACCAGCTGGCCGTGAAGGTCACCCAGCTCGACTCCACTGTGGAGGAAGGTACGGGACCAGTCTATAGCACACATGTGGTTGGTTTGTAATGGTGTAGTTATGCTTTAGTCCTGGTATAGTCTTGGTTTAATCCTAATTTAGACTAACCCAAATGGACAAATATTTATAAGTCCATTTTGCTGTTGAAGGTTAAATTTCGACCTGCTTTAGCCCTTTGTTAGTCATTGTTAGTCTGGTGGTAAATGTGGTTTAGTCCTAGTTTGACCTCTCTCCAGTGGTAAAATAGAAACCTTGGTTGTATGTTTATGCGTAACTCGAGCAGTCAATGGTCTGGATTTTTCTCTGTATTTATAAAGGATGATTCGAACACTGTAATTGTGTGGTTGTTGGATGTCCTAACAGCGGAAAACTGCTCGGGGAATTTGTTTGTGAACTTCATAACTGCAAAAGGGAATCAGATGTGTGTGACTGCAAACCTCTTTTCAAACTGTTTCCCTTCCCAATGGAACTGAAAAATAGTGAAAGGCGAAGGCGATGGGCAGTATTGGTACACAGGAAAGACGAATAAAGTAATCTTTGACTGCCTAAATCAGGGGTGTCAAACTCATTTTGGTCCGGGGGCCGTATCCAACCTACTTTAATCCCAAAGGGGCCGGATCAGAAAACTCATGGCATATAAACCCCAAAAATAACAATAAATTCAAATATTTGTGCAGAGAAATGCAAATCTATTACAGAAATCTTTTTTAATTGATGAACTCTTTCTTATTATAATATTATAATATTATAATATTATGAACAACCTGAAACTTTAAGAAAAATTCAATTTCAACACAATGTTTTAACATGAACTTGTATGTAAATAAGAATAAGTCCATTTATCTTGGAAAATCCTGCACTCGGCTCCACTTTTCTCATTTTGGACATTTTTCTGATGAGGGTGTCTGGTCAACAGTCAAAACGATCGTCCTTTAAGAGCGTTTGGAAAGAGACAAGTCTTCATTTGTGCTGCTCTGGTGGGAGGGGCCACGTACAGAGACGCTGGAGACGCTGTTATGCTAAGCACCGCAGAAAATTTACAATATTTTAATTGGAAATATAATTAAAATATTTTAGTAGAAAATCACCCAAGGGCCACATTAAAGGTCTTGGAGGGCCGGATCTGGCCCCCGGGCCTTATGTTTGACACCTGTGGCCTAAATCATCCAGAATTTGCAGCGAACATTTTGTATGTGGAGCGCCATCAAAGCAAAACCCCGGTCCTTCGCTCCACCTTGGTTACAAATTTATAAAGTCAACACCAGAGCAAAAGGCAACAACTGTTCACCAAGAAACACCTTCCACTGCAAAGTGACCAAGACGTGATGTTGCTGTAAAACCACAAGAACAAGAAAGTGCAGCTCAGCCTGTTTGTCTTCTGTACCTCTCACTTAACAAACGGGATTTTGCTTTGTTGTCGCTCCACATACAAAATGTTCACTGCAAACTTGGATGATTTTTTTTTTATCTTTACTGTGGATCAATTCTGCCCATCGCCTTCACCTTTCACTATTTTTCAGTTCTGTTGGGAAGGGAAACAGTTTGAACGGAGGTTTGCAGTCACACACATCTGATTCCCCTTTTTACATTTATGGAGTTCGCTAACTTCCAAAGCCCATTTCTCGAGCTGTTTTCCGCTGTTAGAACATCCAACAATCACACAATCACAATGTTCGAATCCCCAAACGAAAATATGACAATATCAGAACCAGAAACAAAAGTGATATGGTTCAAAAGACTTGAAAAGACTGACTTTGTCAATAGACGCTTCCCACTGGGAAAACAAACATGGCAGTTTGATGCTCACTTTTTTGGAAAATCCTTCCCAGTATGTATTGCGCGATGACTGGAAGTCCAAAATTCATGATGCATCTACTGTGGCCTATTGTGTACGGGTGCTTTCTTAGACAAATCTCCATAAACTCCTTCTCATGTGCTCCGTGTGCCCTGAGTAGCACCTCTGACAGTGTGAGCGAATGAATAATGCATGTCATATTCAGCACTATGTTAGACTAATGAATTATATTACCATCATAAGTGTATTACATTATAGTCACGCCGTATCCGCTCACACGGTCTCATCTTTAAAGCGACCGCACACGGCTGTAACGAGAGCTTTATTAGATCCTCCATAAACACTCTGCACACTCTGATTAAAAGTACAGTCTCAAATACAGGAGTACAGCGGCCCCAGAGGATCTCATTTAAAGACATTATCCATCTGTTACTGGCTGCAGATGGAGTTTGGGTTTCACTTAGAGCTGCTAAAGCCACGTCTGAGTGAAGTTAAGTGTTTTGTACAGAATATTGGAGAATTCAGTTTCAGACATACACTCACACAAATCTACAATGTCATATTATGGAACATTACAAATATTACAGACCATTGACCGGAAAAGTTGGATAGTGTAGCTTTAATATACACTACCGGTCAAAAGTTTTAGAACATCCTAATTTTTCGAGTTATTTAAGCTTGGAATGGTACAAAGGTAAGAACTGAACAGACAGAGGTTTAAAAAAAAAAAAAGATAAAAGATACGAAACACAAGTCCAAGTTCTGCCAAAACTACCTCAGGAAAAAAGAACAAGATGGTAAAGCTTGAAAACATGGGGTGTTCAGCACAGTGTCCAGACTTAAACCCCATGGAGCTGATTTGGGATGAACTGGACAGAAGAGTGAAAGAAAAGCAACCTACAAGTGCCACACATTTATGAGAACTTCTGCACCTGACTTTGGAAGAACTTTCTGAAGAGTAAATGTTAGTTTATCTAAACATTATAAACAAGAAGAAAAGACAAGAGATTAATTCAGTTTTACTCGCGAGGAGAACGGGCAGAGAGTGGGCATCAAAACCAACAGTCTCCACACGTTCTGATGCCTCAAGGCCGTTCTCCTCTTTTTATTTCATTAGGAGGCCCTAGTTACAGAATGATAATTCTCAAGGGGAAGGGGAAACAGCAAAGACATAATAAGAAACTGGTGCAGCTATGCATAGTCCAAACACATAAAACATGATTAACAATCAGGAGGTGCCTTAGGTATGGACAGAATAACTCTTGCATGTGTGACAGTGGAAGTTGGCTTCATGTGAGGAATCATCTCGAGGTTCACTACAGCGATAGGACACTGCACACAGTTGTCAAACACACAGAAGTTATTCAACAAGTGACAAGTGATTGGTACATTATAAATCAAAGAATTGTATACATAAATGGTTAACTCATAGGCATAGAATATCACACAAGTATTTAGCAAATATGGGATAATAAAATTATTCTGACAATATTCAATTTCTACTGTAAAAAAAATGTCATGAGTGTGTTCAGCTTTTAGATCTGAATACGTTTTGGTCAACAGTAAACAGTAAAAAAACAGAAAAAAGTGTGGTGTTGTAAAACTTTTGACTGGTAGTGTATCTGTCCCCAGATACGAGATAAACATGTTTAAATCAAACATAGCTTCTGCTGGTAACTATTGTAATTCTGATTTATTTTTCATTACAAAAACATTGGAAATGATGGCCAAATTATTTATGTTATAATTTGGTGTTTTGGTTCAAGACGTTTATCCAATCAGAAAGCAGAACGAGTCTCACATGAGTCTCTTATTTGGGTTGGCAGTTTCAATGCACCGGTCATGCTGCAACCTGCTCCCAGACAACATAAAAACTGTTTTGCATAAGTGAATTCAAATACAACTTAGAGGTCAAATGAATTTTAAAAAACAATGCTCCTGAACCACTCTCAAAATCATGTGCGTTACCAGATGTGCAGTAAAAAAAAGTAATTGTATTTCTGATAGAGGGGTTAGTATATGGAACAATCTGAGTGATGATTTTTTAAAATTATAAAGCATCATGTTTTGAAAGATAAATCGCTCTGAAATGAATGGATTATGTCTCAAATTTAGTTTGTTTTAATTTATATTTTGTCTCATACACTACTGGTCAAATGTTTTAGGACGCCACTCTTTCTCTTTTACTGTTGACCAAAACATTACCAAATTTTTAAGTGTCTACCTTTGGCAGATATAACAGCTGAACAAACTCGTGGCTCTTTCTTTTTAACAATAGAAATCAAATATTCTTCAGAAAGATCTTCCCAAGTTTGTTGCACAAGTTCTCATAAATGTGTGGCACTTGGAGGTTGCTTCACTCTTCTGTCCAGTTCATCCAAAACCAGCTCGATGGGGTTTAAGTCTGGACACTGTGCCGGACACTCCATATTTTCAAGCTTTACCATCTTGTTCTTCTTTCCTGAGGTAGTTTTGGCAGAGCTTGGACTTGTGTTTTATTATATTTTATCTTTTTGTTGTATCTGTCTGTTCAGTTTTTACCTTTGTACCATTTCAAGCTGTTCATTGGATTTGCACGACTTGAACTGCAATAAATAACTGGAAAAAAGAGGGTGTTCTAAAACTTTAGACCGGTAGTGTACTTACAATAAGTTGTAAGTGAAATTGTAAATGCAAACTTGTTGTTCATACGCTGCTTTCTTCCTTGGAATTCTGTCATTGTTTAAAAGGGTTTGACTTTAGAAGTACTTTTTACTTCAGCCTAAACCCTTTTGGTCATGATCCATGGGGTTGTAGTCTATGTTTTGTTTTGTTTTGTAGTACTGCAAAATGACCAAATAAAAAACTACTACTACAGTCATGAATCAGTGCTAGTGCAGCCTCTGCAGCTCAGAGGGAATTCTGGAGGTTCTGAGCTTTCACATGAGGTCTGGTCTGTCCATGTACTGACAATGAGACAAACCTGGATGTGTCCTCTGTCTGCAGTGTAAAGCTCTGGCAACACAGGCTCAGTTGTGATTCTAGTTCCTTTTTTAAAATATGAAGAATGCAGGTTACAGACAGTTCCATCTGAAAAATAAACAGATGACAAACAGAGATACAAGAGATTCAGAAACGCGGAAACGGCAGCATTTCTAAATCAGAAATATTGTAGGAATGTCAGACTCGGCATGTGACCCAAACTCACATGAGTCTGATTCATGAATCTCTGTGG